ATTTTTTTTTTTTAGCAAAAGCACATTGGGGAAAAAAAAAGGATGCGGATTATTCTTACCTCTGGGAGGGGTCCCAGGTTTTGGATGAAGTATGTGCAGTGTCCTGACCATCCTGTAACTGTACAGTGAAGCATGGGGCTTTCAGAGAATCAGAGGCAAACGTGTGGCTGCCTTGTGGCTGGTAGTTGCCAGGTGTGTACAGAGCTCAGTGCTCTGTATTCTGCAGTCAACATATGAGAACGGGAACATGTAACTGAAGTTAAGGCCTCCAAATCTAGCCTCATTGTTAACTTAACGAAAAACAAACATTTTATAACAGGACCCTCCTGACACTCCATGGCTCGGGCAAAATGTCAGTGCTGAAATCTGCCTGAATCCGTGCAATTGTCCAGGTTACAGCAATGAAGCAAAACATTTTTACACCTTTTACTGTAGCCAAAGCTTACAAGAATAGTAATAAAGAAAATCTTCCATCTTTGAGAGCTCTGGCAAAACTCTATAATTTGTTATTGCTATAGCCCTATTGCTTTTTCAGCAAAGATGAAATTCCATCCTTTTCAAATGTGAGCATGAGAGGGAGGCAATAATCCCCCCATATTCCAAATCTCATCTTTCCTGCGCCCTTTTCACTGTGAGCTGCTGAGTAAAAGCCTCTTGAATTGTTCTATTTGAATAAAATGTTCTTGGGGGAAATGTGGAAATGAATGTTTTCTATAGCCTGGTTTGCCAGCTGTTTTATATGGCCATTTGATGCTAACTGATACAGAAGCCTTATCTATTACACTACGAAAGGGATTTAACATGAAGCACAAGTTGGTATTACAATAAAAATGACCAGTAACTTATTAATCTTATGCTATTGTGTTACCCTCAGAAATGACATGTGTGGTTCCAATGCTAATAGTATTGCTTGTGGTCATGAAATACAAGCCAATGCTGTTCATTTCGGTGTGCAAACAAGATTTTGTATAGTTTTTCTACAGTAAAAAAAGAAAGCAACTTCTCTTCTACCCTATGGTTATTATATTCATGCTATTTTATTGTCAGTGAAGTTAGATTTCACCACATTACTATTAACTGCCAACTTTCCTGAAAAAGACTTTGCTGCAGGCAAAATAATCTCCTGTTGGTGACTTAGATGTGCACATTCCAGATTCGTAGAGGTCATTTGCATTTAGTGTCACAGAGCCAGTCACTACTTGAATTCTTTAAACAAATGAAGTTTTCTATGAGCCATCTTAGAATTCTATAAATCATATTTAGTTATGTTTTCTGAGCTATTTCAGCATGTGGTATTAGGATCATATGAACCTTCTCCAGAATTAACCTCCTGCAATGTATAAAGTAAGGCTTTTAAACTTATCACCACTAATATTTTGCATTGGATTTTTTTTTCTCTTTTAAATCACAAGATGTTGCATGTTGCCTGTTGCAGTTGTTGAGCGATATCCTGGAGTTGAATACACCACATTCCAGTTGCACTCCCTTCCAAGGTGTAACACTTGAAAACACCTCCAGGCATTGCCAAATATCCACTTCTGGCTGAGGAACCTTGGGCTAATCACAGAACGCTGCTTGAATCTCAGCAAAGAAATAGCTCCTAAGAGAAAAATCTCAGGAAATAATTTGCTATGCAATTCTTTCTCAGTCTTTAATAACAGCAATGCTGAGGCATGATGTTTATGAATATCAGGCACAGAAACATAAGGCTATATATTTAGATTTACCTTGACTTTTTCAACTTTCTGGGTACTCTAAAGTTTTCTCATGTGTTAAACTTTCTAATGTGTGAAATGTTTATAAATCAGGTCGGATAGGGTAGGATCCGAGAAGAAGCTAAAAGAGTGGGAAAGATTCTGGGGTTCTCTCCATAGGTTTGCCTCCTGTATTTCTTCAAATATGTTCCCTCTGAGTCTCCAATGCATTAGCTGCCTTTCTTGCCATGCTTTCAGCAAGGGTTTCCTGTACATTCTTGGCTTATGTTTGAACTTGGGAAGAACTTAGTGCAGAATACCAGAATCAGGGGATCGTGACAGTACATCCACTCTGCTCTGCCCAGGGTATTCCCCATTCCGAATGACTCATGTGAGTGATTGTACTGGAACCTGTGGGGAAGGATGAAATGTCATTCTTGTTTGATGGATAGGATTAGAGTAGATAGAACCAAAACACATTAAATTTCACCCCCCCAAGGGTTCCATTTGTTAGTATCCATTTACTTGACTGATTTCTTGAAGCTTTTGCTCTCTATTTTCCCCCACAGAATTTCCCGTAAGTTCTGCCTGTCAATCCAATTTTTATTGCTTTCACTTTTTTAATATCCCAATTGATAACGTTATACAACATAGACCAGCCTCACTGAAGTGTGATGTGTGATTTTTCTCTGCTAGTGCATGGGACTCAGTGTGGACCAGAAGTTGAAGCGCTGTGTGAAGTCCTGAGAAGGACTGCTTGCCGAGTGGTCCTAAGAGCCTGTCATGTTGTTATGCACCCTGAATAAGTCTTACAGCTAGCTGTCACATAGACAGGAGCTGTCAAAGATGAGAGGACCTAAAGGGGATTGTGAAGGGCAAACAATGACTTTTTATAGGAAAGGATTGTTTTCAACAATTACTAGTGCCCTTCCATACTTAGAAAGTAGGTGTGAGCTACGCGTCCAGTGAACTCAATTAAATGGTGTTGGAGCTCATCCCTTGGCTTTTAGACATTTTGAGGACCTTCCTTCTAGTTCCTGCCATCCTGGCATTGATCATCATGTACGGTAATCAATAAGCTCCATTACTTAAAATGTTTTCATTTATTTGAAAGGCAGAATAACAGAGATGAGGGGCACAGACTTCTTCCTTCTACTCATTTGCTCCTTAGATGACGAGGCTAGGAACTCCATCTGAGTCTCCCTGATGGTACAGAGGCTCAAACACTTAGGCAAGCGACCGCCTGCTCAGGCACATCAACACGAAGTCATCTCAGAAGCTGAGCAGCTGAATTCCACCTGGCACTCTGCTGTGCCATGCAGTTGTCCCAAGCAGTGGCATAATGCACCAGACCACAATGCTAGTCCCATCAGTTAATTCTTTAATCTGCTGTGGATTCACTTGTTTGTTCATTGATTCAATTCAAAGATTATACCCTTGGGCTCTAGGCAACAAGGCAAAGATGTGTTCTCCAGGGGCTGATACCATAAAGGGAAAAACAATCAATAAATATATACTTGCCAGATGGGATTGGCTGTCATAGACTCACACCGCTGACTAGGTGGACTAGAGAACAGAAAGATATTTCATCGCAGTTGTGAAGGATCAAAGTTCCATTATCACAATTTGGATTGATAGCTGTTCTGAGGGTCTTTTCCTACCATGGTCTTCTTCAGTGCACCTGGTGTTGGGGGAAGAAAATATGACTTGTGTGTCTTATAAGAACACTAATTTTGTCTGATGCAGGCCACCCGAGCTGCTCTCCAGAGACTCCAAATACACAGGAGATTAGGGCTTCCACCATAAAATTGGGAGGAGACGCCACATTGCAGCCTATGGCATGCATAAAGGAACTGCTAAGAATGACTACTTCTCAGAGTGATAGGAACAGAGACCATTTGCAGTGAGATGGGAGTTGCTGCTTTAGTTGCAGGTTTCTGGAGAAGGAAAAAATGCAACACAAAGGTGGAAAGGAGGCAGTATTCTAGGGATTTGAGGGAATCCACATTTTGTGTACAGAGACCACAATTTCAGCAGAAAGGTGTGAGGTGCTGAAATCACAGGACAATAAAGTCGGTACCCTTGGATTTGGGTGGACAAAGCAGAGTGTAAAATGTATACTAGGAAGGTACTCAGAAGTTTGTGCAGGCCAATAAAAGGAGCCAGGTTTTGTTAGCATTTTGAAGGAATACATTTGGAATATGTTAAATTTATTAATGAATATATGAGGCATATTTAAATAACCAATTTTAAGTTTTGTCTGGAAGCCTAACTCATCTTTGGTGAACGTAACAAATGGCCAAAATTTTTTAAGGATGGATATGCACTTATTTGTTAATTATCTTTTTGTGACTGGGTATTACAAATGTAGCCTATCGCTCTTTTTAGTCCCCGATTGTAATTCTGACACACACACACACACACACACACACACAAGATCTGCAACAATCACATATAGAACAATTATATTCCCTCCCTAGCTCCATCATGTTCCCTGGAATCAACCCCTTCTCCCACCCCAGGCCTTTGCAGCTGCTCATCTGTCTTATGTCTCTGTATTTCTGCTTCTTCTGTATTGAGATATGTCCCAAATGGCATTCTGTCCTAGGCATGCTTTTGAGTCTGGTGTTTTGTCTTTAGCACAATACATGTGAGATTCTCTGTGTTGAATAACTTAGCAATTACATGTATTTGGTATGTCTCCATGTCTCTGGGTCCTATTTCCATGAATCCATCCAGGATTGCATTAAAATAATTTTTAAAAAGCCTCATCCATATGTAACAGCATACTTTATAGTCTCCAGCACCTGTCACACGTTCTTATTTCTACATTGAAATATATTGCCCTTTATTTTTCTCTTTTCAAGTAGAAAGGGTTTTTTTTGTTTGTTTGTTTTTGTTTGGTTGGAAGGCATGGACCTGGTACAAGGTTGTAACATGAAAATCTAAAATTTCCTAGGAACTGGCATTTATTTTATGAATGAAGAGATGGATGCAGTTTGTCTAAGCCACCTTTGTAAAGCACAATGCTTTTCTTTGACTTCAGACACTATCACACTCAGGTGGCATAAGAGATTTCTGCATAATTAGTGTTATTGGATGACTCCAAGCTGTCCATAGATCCAGAATGACTTCTTTCTCTTAGGAATTAGATATTGTACATCTCCTGGATGCTCTGGTTAGTAGTTGATGGAGAAACAATGAAAGCAGAAAAACTTGATCTTTCCCAGAGGTGCTTGTAGCTTTGATCAGTGGCTAGTCCACAGCAGCTTCATGAATCCTACTCTTTTTGTTTTCTGTTTGCAGATTTTATTCTTCACCGTACAGTATTGCAACCAACCGCATGATTCCACAGACATCTATCACGCCATTCATTGCTGCTTCCCCTGTCTCCACATACCAGGTATGTCCAATTTACCTGAACCTCAGGAGGTATCTTTCTTGCCAGTAATACAAAGCATAGAGACAAAAAAAAAGACACAGTAGAATTCAAGGAAAGTTGTCCCCACACACTTTAGCACATCATCATGTAATAACACCCTAGTGATGCATGAGTCTATACTTTCAAGGGTTTATTTGCATTAATTCATTGAAAAAATAAAATCCAGCATCCTTTTCATTCTATCTGCTGAATTTTTTGTGCTTATGCTGCTCTTCCAACATCCATACAGCTTTCTTACCACTGGGAAATTATTTTTTCTCATTGTTTGTTATTTTGGTTGTTCACATTCCCTATTGTATCTTTTATAAAAGCGTGTTTCCAGCAATTCCTTCACCTATTCTACGATATTTTATCATTGTCATCTCATTTTGTCACGGCTGCTCTGGAAAAGCTGTAAGGATTAATGTTGAAAGCTACTGCCCCCAAAATAGAGACAATGATCAAAATTGGAGAAAGTTATTTTTGCTACCCACTCTCACTTCATTCTGGCTCCTAAAGAAGGGAGGTCAGGGATTTTACATATGGAAATACAGGAATATTTGGGACTTTAAGGCATCCTAAGCCACATGTGGTAGCCAGCTAATTCCAAACAGATGGATTGAAATAATCATACTGCTTCAAAAAAAAACAAAAAACACTGTTTATTTGGCTTATTCTGATTATTAAATAGACACTGTCACCACCTGATTCTTATGCTCTCCTAACCTCTCATTCAACATTTCTTCTAATTCTCATTGGAAAGAACTACCATTATAAAGTGCCTAGTGTCAGTTTTAAAAGCTTGGAGAAAAAAAAAGGATGAGAGAGAGAGAGAGGGGTTGTGCATGCATTTTCTTGTGTATATTTTGCAGAGGGTGGGGATGGGTGTTTTCCACCGAGTAAAACTGTAATGTTGCTGACTGGTACCAATTTGTTGAAGTTTCACCTTATTCAGCCACCGCACACCTCATTTCAGGATGTCCTAGTTGTCAGTACATCAAATTTGAGGTTGTATGCATTTTTCCTTAAGTAGTTTTCCCTGAAGCAAATCATTTTCATTTTCCTCCCCCCACGTTCAGACTCTTGAAGCATGTCGTGGGAAAAGGAAAGAGACTTTTCTTTGAATCTTATCCGAGGGTCTCAGAATGCCCGGTGTCTTCATTGCTTTCCTCGGGGCCTGTGAAACTTGGTGCAGGGGCCAATCAGCTTTTGTTGTTTCTGCAGGCCTGCCTAATTGTAGTGTGTGTGTGTTTGTGTGCATGTGTGTGTGTGTGTATTTGTGCATTCCATTTTTTCCTAATCTTGGCCTCTGTGTTAGACAAGACCCCATATCAATTCCCAGTGTAGAACATGATGTGAACAAAATATACCCCCAGCAGTGATTTTTTTTGTGGAAGGGCTCATAAAAGGAATTTCACTTTTGTTGTTCACTTTTCTCAAAAAAGATATTGTTATAAGTTCCCATATTACCAATTCTTTTTCTCCAGTTGAACTCAAAAGCATATTCATGAATCCTTTTGGATTCCAGAACCTCTATGTGACAGCTCATATGGTCTTACTTTTTTTCCATGGCACATTTAAGAATAGTTGACTTGCTCAAGTATATAGTTTTAATTTTTCCATATCAAATAATATAAGAAAAACACTGGCTTGCTCTCTAGTTTAACTCCTTAATTCTTGATAAGAGTTTCACCTCTTGGATATAGTTCCAGGATAGGAACACCCAAACATTTGAAGGTACAAGTAATGATAAAGAGGAAGTTGTGACCGTCAGCCCTTACTTCTTTCACTGTCTGCTAGGGAATCCCAGGGAACTGATCTCCAAACAGTCTTTGAGGCCTCCCATTACTTTTGTCTTCAGCAGAGCCTCCCATAGGCTCCAAACCCAGTGAGGTGCAAGTGGGCAGACACTGAAGTCAGCTCCAGTGCCAGGGAATGTTGCTTTATAGCTTGTCATCACTCAGAAGCCATACTACTCAATCTTTTTCACCCTTGATTTTGAGCCCTAGTTATCTGTAAAGTCAGGTGGATTTCACTTTCTTATGACCTAGTGTGACTCCACTGAACACAAGAACCAAGTTCTCTCTGTGATTGCTTTGTGCTAATAAATGCTGTTTGGTGCATAGGTCCAGAGTACTTCATGGATGCCTCATCCGCCATACGTTATGCAACCAACAGTAAGTGTTCTCACTCACCTGAGGCTCAATATTTCTATTATCCAAGTGCAAGTTATTGTGATGTGTAGAAGCTTTGGGGTAAAGCTTTTGTTATATTCTGTAACTTTTTCAGGCAGCCGTATTCACCAGATAAAAGCTGTTCCTGAAATTGTGCAAAAGCATGTGCAATAGACAGGTGGAAAAAGAGATAATGTAAGAGAGTAAGAGAGAGAGAGATGAAAGGCAGAGAGAGGTAGCAAACATTATTGTAGAAATGACAGTTAACTTCTCAAACTTATGTCTGCTGTTTCTAATGAATGATCACTTGCTGCTTCATGCAGAAACTTAAACTCTGGACAGTTAAATCCATTATAAAGCCTTGTTTGTCTTGTCTTTATGTTCTGCACTGCTTTCATCAGACAAGTCCGATATACTCTGAGAACAGTTTTGAGTATGATGATCAAACGTTAATTAATGGATGGCTAGTAAGGATAGACTTTATGTTCATGAACTATAGTTGTTCTTTTTAGCGCGATATTTCTTCTCAAACTATTATCTATTTGTTAGTGTTCACCTTTGGTGGCACAATATTCCATCAGTTCCAAGTGAAAATGTGACACATCACATTAAAATCTAGACTGAAGGTTAAGGAGTCCATTTATCCATGTATACATTTTCTGAATTCTCTAGCTCTATAAGAAATAGAAGATAGAGACAGTCATTTGGCGAAGCAGTTAATCCGCTGGTTGGAATGACACATCTCGCTTTGGTTTGTCTGAGCTGCAGTCCCAGCTTCCATCACAGTTTTAGTCTCCTGTTAATGCAGAGGCCGGGAGCAAGTAGGTTTGACAACTCTGGCTATTGGGTCCCTAATTTCTGCATGAGAAGTCTGGATTGAGATCCTGATGTCTAAAATTGGTCTGTCTTGGATCCCAGCCATATGATGGGGAATGAAACAGCAGGTCGGTGCTTTCTGTCTGTCTTTGTCTCTGTCTCTCTCTGTGTGATTCAAATAAATATTTTTTTTTAAAAAAAGAAACATAAGATAGATTTTAGAACATAGTCATGAGAGTGTTAGGCAGGGGCAAGATCCCTAGACATAAAATGGTACTGCATGACAAGGCCTCTGATTCACTCTCCTGTTACAGTCAGGCTGTGTGTGTCATCATTTCCTTTGCCATGATTACGCTTACCAGTGCTCTTGACTGCATCAGATGAGAGCATACATGAAAACAATGCAAATGACATGCTGTTGCTATTGTAACAATATTATCTTCATCATTAGTATTGAATCTGTTCGATGTGCAAAGGAGAAGCAGTACTACTTGTTAACACTTTTAGAAACTAAATTTAAAATAAGAGCACATATGAAAGCCTAAGATGTCGAATACAAAGACATCCATTTCCTGGATTCAAAGTGTCGGTGAATCTGGTTTTCATATTTGAACTTTGGCTATTTTGTATTTTAATAGAGAACTTTCCATGTGGCGCCTAACAGTTCAATGGTTTGTTATTCTATTTAAAGAATCAACTTTATGTAACGCACTGCAGAAGAACTTCAGACTATATTTTGCAAACCCCTCTCTTCACTATTATTTATACACCTGAGGGGCTTCCTGGGTTCATCTGGTCTATGTTTCATAAATCATACCAATATGCAACAAATCCAGCCTACAATTTTCTGTCCAAGCCATGTGCTACAATTCAACATGTCCTGCCAAACCAATATATAGCACAGCACAGATTGAGCCAGCACAGGAAAGGGAAAGTTTCTGCCAAGTTCTAAGGAGAAAACTCTGGAAGGAAGCAGCCGCCTTCGAAAGAAAATAACATGTTCATTTGCAGAGCACTAATTCTAACTCAGTGTTCACACTAAGGTGAAGCGTCAGGTCTGAGGCCAAAAGGGATCCAGAGCTGGAGATATCAGAGTAAGTGAGATTCTTCGGCACTCCTAGAACCTTTAGTAGAAGGGCATAGGGTATATATGGGTATGTGGCTCTTGATTTCATCTGTTACTCAGAACCTTAGCTAAGTTTTACCCTCGCACAATTTCAACCCCATTTATGAATGTATAACTTTTCACAAATCTTCCTCTAACAGTAAGTAAGTATGTGTGCTTGTGTGTGACGGGTATATATATCGAGAGAGAGAGACAGAGAGAGAGAGAGAGAGAGAGAGAGAGAGAGACAGAGAGAGAGCATGCGCTTTTCTCCCTTGGAATTTTCTTGCTGTGACTTCTAACCCCTGGTGTCATATCACTTTCATGCCTAGGCTGTGCAGCACATTTCAGTATAGGATGCTTGGTCTAAAATGTAACATTTGTGACTAGGATAAAATCTCAGAAGAGTTGCTGTCATCCTACCCTTACTACATACACACTTTTTTTAAAAAAAAATCTTTAATGTGAATTATTGGTTAAACTTGCCATAGAAACATCAGAGCTGTTGGCGTCCATCTTTGTTTCACTAATTGTCTATGTTGCATGCAGAAATTCCACAGTTGGCCTCAGATTTTGTACCCAACAGCATGTAACATAATCACACGATGGTGCAATTAAACCATCGAGATCCAAGAAATAAAATGGATACATCTGAGAAGAATGAACAGTAGACTTGATGATTGATAATGTGAATTGTTGGCCAGATCTGGGGGGTTAGAAAAATATCTCTCCTGATTTTGAAGACTGGGTAATTTACTTGAATTTTTTATGTCACAGTTTCCTCATCTGTATCATTGACATAGTAATGCTTAAGCAATTTTGTATTATGAAATGAAACTAAATATTAAACCACTTAAAATAGTTTCTAGTAAATAGCAAACACTCAAAAAGTTCTTGTTATTATTTAATTGTATCATTAGACTTCACATTATGCTTCACTATTTCAAATGTATGAGATTAGTGCTGATTTAGGAAGAAAATGGAAGACAAGCAAAGATTGCTTTTTTCTGCCACAGTCACAATGCTTTATAAATGTCCGTACCTAAAGATGCACATTCTGTGCATCCATAAGCAGGTTACAAATTACAAGGTTGACTCTTCTTTCTTGGCTTACTAAAGGATCCGAGATGTAATGGGTTTAAAACTATCTGTTGGGTAACTGTTTAGAAGTAACAAGACATTAATGCAAGATGTCAATATTCACATCTCAAATATGTTGCCTATCATTGCAATTTCTTGCAGTTTTTGTTTTGCACCGTCTCCTGCCCTAATTTAAGAAAATCTCATTTCTTAATGAGTTCTCTTTATTGAGACATGCTTCTCCCCAGGTATTACACACACACACACACACACACACACACACACACACACACACACAGAGTGACTCCATAGTTGTGACCAAATGCGTGTTTTATTTGGTTTTTTTTTTTTTTTTTTGCTGGAAGTTGTTCAAGTTGTCTCTCAGGCAGCATTTGAAAGCTCTGAGTTCTCTGTCAGGCTTGTAACTGGAAAGAAAGCAGTGCCTCAGGGAAGTTTCAAAATACAGCACAATGCTCTTGGTCTTTTGGCCAGGGAAGATCCATGTTAAGTCTGAAAGAGCAACAACTCGTCAAGAAAGAAATGAAATGATGGCGAAAAGGAAATGGCTCCATAAAGGATGCAAGCACAAGAGAAAACAGTATGCACCTTTGTGCAATTTGTCACTTAACTTGGCTTCTTTAGGTTTAAAATTTCTGTATAGAACGCAGTGTAAATTTAGTAAACCTTTGGAGAAGAAGAGATGAGGTGACTATTTGAGAAAAGTGGTCTTTGTGCTCATGCCCAGGGACTTTATTGGAGCTCCTGTAGAACTATGAAATGCCACTTGAGGAAGCAAGTATGTTTCAGCTTGCTCTTTGTTGTTCATCTAACTAGGCTCCTGGGAGAAAAGACTGGTAGATGAAATTAGGAATTCACTTGTTGATGCAAGGAAGTAAAAATGCTGATGTTGTCCATGCAATTGGTTATCTGTTTCTGCTTCTGTATTGCACTCTGAAATCTCACTAATACACTGACAACATTGTAATGGTTGATGGATTGCACTAAATATCCATTCCACAGAGCAGCATGTCACATTGGAATGCTATATGAATGCACAATTGAGTACCCACTTTCAAAAGACTGAATATTTTTGCTAAATCTGGGCTATTGGCCAGCAGAAAATATCACAGTTACCAAGAGGAAGCAGAGTTCTATTGCATTAAATTCTGTTTAGTTTCATTTAAATCATAAATCTTCTGTTCTTCATATGACTGGTGTTATTTCATCTCCAGGAGAAAGGTCAGCTTTCATTTCTACTTAATTATAAATTGGTTATCTAATTACCATAGCCTAAGAAATGTAAAATGCCCTCATTGAATCATTGGATGATTCTTTGCCATGCATGACTAAATTATAATTTTTGTGATTAATAAACCCTAAGTTTACAACTAAAGAGCAAGATATAAACTTCTGTACACTAAAGTTGTTTAAGAGAGCTCTGGAATACATAATTTGGGCAGTTTTTATCTGCACACAGTCAAGACCTCATGTATTCTCCAAATTGGAATGCATGTTTTATTTTTTTTAAAAAAAAGGGACCATTAAAATTAGACGGACCAGTAGAGCTCGGTTCAAAAGACAAGGCTTTGTGATACAGGTTCGGAGAAATCATAATTCTTTTGGTTTCGTTAAAGTAGTAAGTGCTAGAGGAGTTAACTATGTATCTATAAAGAACTATGTATGTATGCACGTGTGTGTTACAGTTATCTGTGAAGTAAATCCTGTGTCGTAGGGGAAATATTATCTTTGTATTTTGTAACTAAACAAGTAAAACAACAAAACTGACAACTCCTCTCAATTTTATGTGCTGCTTCTATAAGAAGAGAATTAAGATGAATGAGATTAACCTTAGCAGGGACATTTTTTGGGTTGTCACCTCTTTGGGAAGATTCCTAAGGTAAACTAAGGAAAAACAAAGTCATTTCTCAGCAAGACTTTTAGATATCTTCAATATTGTCAATGAAAATTATGGCTTTGTTGTTCCTAGATATAACGTCAGAAT